TCCTCCCCCTTCCTTCCTTCCTCCCCTCCTTCCTTCCTTCCTCCCTCCCTCCCCTCCTTCCTTTCTTCCTCCCTCCCCTCCTTCTTGCTTCCCTCCTTGTTTCCACTTCATTCTTTCTTTTCAGTATGTAGCTCAGATTCCAGTAAAACTTATGTCAATCCTTTTGCCCCAGCCTCACAAATACTAAGATTACAGGCATAAGCCAGAGCCACATTCCCTGCCTTAAATTTGTGTTTGTAAAGATGAAAGCAAATAGAGTTTGATCTGAGAGGTTTTATGTTTCTGGATTTCTAGTAGGCTGGAGTACTTACTCTGCTGGTAGTTCAAACTGGCACTAGCAGATCAGTGTGAGTTACATTTTGCCTCCTTCCACCTGCAACTTAGTAAAATTTCAAAATTAGGTTACAAAGTGCGAAACCACATTAAAATGCAGAAATTGCTTCTATCATGGAGCCTGTGCAATTTTAATTCTATAAACACTCCTAAAATCTCTTTAATATATATACATATATCTACATGTTTATATATATGTATATATTATGAAGGGAGGTGGAATGGAATGGATAATTTGGATTAAAATAAAGCCTTGATAACACCTCTAACACACACACACACACACACACACACACACACACACACACACACACACACACACATCAATTTACCTAAGAATAAAAAAGATTCACACTGAGAAAATGGGACTAAGGACTATTTGATAAATTACTACAGACTACTTGAATATTCCATTAGCAAAATAATACCTCGTTATGAATCTCAGAAGAATGTACTATAATTACAATGGTACTATCCTCCCTTGGGGGCTGGGAAGAATGCAAATTAAAAAAATGATAGCTATTTGTACAATGTGAGGGAAAAATGCCTCAAAACAAACTGAGAGGTTATGATTTCTGGATTCCAATGAGATTTTTTTTTTTTTTTTGTAGTTTCCACCAGCCTTAATTAGCTTGACGTGTTTACACAAAGTAAGGGCTAGTCACATTCTTGGACTCACATAGGAATAAACTTCCCATTGAATTGAGATGAGGGAACTGCCCTAGCCTCTGTTAAATTTTTCCACAAAGAAAATTTGTGGAATATGGGAGAGCTTGAAGGAAAGGGAGGGGTAAATGATGTAATTAGATTTCGACTTCAAAAAATAATAAAGAGAAAAAAATAAATGCATTTATCCTGAAAATAAATTTCCAAGACATATACCTAGAATTATCTTAGAAGCAAGTATACTTACATTCACACTGGGTGAGAATCTTCTGAGAAACTGAATGTGTGGGCTAAGGTATATTAAAAGAGGGATATGGTAAAAAGGAGGAAGAGAAAGGTATTAAACAATGGAAGAAAAATAGACTAATAAAACAAGCCTATTACATTTGCTCAAGCCTGTAAACCACACCTAAAATACAGTGCAGTAACAATAGGATTGGATTGAGTTTGGAACCAGCCAGGGCTTCATAGTGAGTTCTAGACAAGCTGGAGCTAGAGTGAGAAGCCTAGAATATTAGCTACTTTTCTTGTTGCTATGGCAAAGCATCTGCCAGGAATCAACTTAAGGAAGGATAGGTTTGTTTTCAGTTGTACTTTGAGGCTACAATCCAAAGAACTAGAAAGATGATCCATCAAGAATATGAGCAAGAAGCAGCTGGTCAGGTTGCTTTCTCCTTCTCACTCAATCCAGGACTCCATCGATAGGATGGTGCCATCCACATGGGTGAGTCTTCCACCATCAGTTACAATTTTCTGGAAGTACTTTTATAGATACATTCTGAAGTGTGCTTCCATGATGGTTCTAAATCCAGTCCAGGTGGATGAAGATGAATCAGTATTAACTAGATACTAACTGCATCCACCATCACAGAGCAGGAGTAAATTGTACCCACACAAATGAACTGAAAACTGCGTGGTCCAAATAGACCAAAATGATATATAAATGGATAAATGAAATGAATTTCTCTTTAACAACCAAGTTTTATTTTTCAGATATGATGTTAATTGTTACATTCAAAAAACCACCTGGGAAAATCCAAACTGTGCTAATCATGCGATTCAAGCTCCTAAAGTTAAAACGTTGCTTTAGAAGATAAAAGGTATAATTATTAACTTCAAACAGCAGAATCCAAATCAGCATTAAAAAGAAGACTGCATTTAACATGTTGCTTTCAGCCTTTTTGTAAATCTGGCATAGTTGCTCATACTTGGGAAATTTGCAAAATGTTTCTAAGCAAAACATTCACAGTGAGCATCATGCTCAATTAGCTAGGGTTTTCATATTTAATTCATATTGCTGTGTTAAAGTCACTTAGTTGATGTCTTAGTTAGGATTTCTATTGCTGTGATAAAACACCAAGCAACTTGGAGCAAGAAAGACAACTTGGAGAGCAACTTGGAGAGGAAAGGATTTCTTTCACCTTATATGGTATGAATCCATTGTCCCAGGGAGTCAGGACAGGAACGTGGATGCATAAACTGAAGCAAAGGCCAAGGAGGAGCACTGCTTACTTGCTTGCTTCCCATGCTGCTCTTTGATGCCACTGAGGGTTACCCACCCAGGGGCTATACCATCCCCAGTGGTATGGGCCCACCCTATCAATCACCAATCATCAAAATGCACCACAGGCTTGCCCACAGGCCAGTCTGAAATGGGAATTTTTCTCAATGGAGGTTTCCTTTTCCAAAACGACTCTAGATTATGACAAGTTGATGTAAAAACTAGCAAGCATGAAAGCAAAAATCCTAGAGCATGAAGTTTGCAATGGCCCTGAACTTTCCCTTATGTTGTCCCTGTTCTTTGGCAAAGATTTTCGATAGCAAGATAAATTCCTAGAATAATTAAGGGACATAGCAATACAGATCTGTTATGCTTCTTGTGCTGCTCATATTACTCAAATATTCAAATAGGGTAGACAGAAGCTTTACCTAACTTCTGGGCTGCCATGTTTCAAAGTTAGATCCTGAGAAACAGACAATAAACCTTTACCAAACTAATAGATACAATAATTACAGTAAGATTATATATTTGTAATATGAAACTTCATTTCCATCATATGGGTCACTTATATCATGATTGTTCAAAATCATGACTAAATCTGGAAAATATATATACTCAGGGACACTTTCTTTGACTTTCTTTTTTTCCTTTCCTTTTCTCTTTATTAAGTAGGATTTCATATATTCTATGTTGGCCCCAGTCTAACTATGTAGATGAGGGTGATCCCCAATGACTTGAAATTTCAGATCCTTCTACCTCCAGAGTGTAGTGATTACAGTCATGGGACACATCACTGCACCTGCTTTTTTGGTTCTGGGAATGGAATGCAGAGCATTAAGCTTGCTAGGCAAGCCCTCTACCAACTGAGCTACATCACTAGTCTCATATTCATTGAGTTCCTAAATGTAGATAATGGTGATTATCTTGGACACAAGTAAAATTTCTTCTGGTTTTTCTATACACATAGACAATGAGAGGAGTAAGAGTGAGTAGCAAAGTAATTAAACAAGAATTCTTTGAATAAGCTGTAAACACAAAACAATGACTTATTATTTCAGTCATCTATGATGATGTTTAAAAATGCAAAAGTAACTTTTAGTATTTTGTGATTATTTTTCAAACATATATATTCTCTTAAATGTGATTGCATGAATGTTACTCCAAGAAAATGAAGATCCAGTTTGGGTGATGTGGAGTAAGGACTCATTCTCCTTCATTGGAAGCCATTATAAAGTGTGAGCAGAGAGGATAAATCATCAAGGGACTGTAGACAAAAACCATATTCTAAAACTCATTAAAGCTCCAAAAAGCTTCCATTTTGTGCCTCTTGGTAAAAATTGTCTTAAACTTAATATGGCCAGAAATATGAGAGTGAATACTACAGGAAAGGTCTAAGAGAAACCTGAATTGAGACATTTATGAAGTGAGAAGTCCAACCTCTCAGATTTTATGCTGTATTACTAAGCTTAGGCTATCACATGGTGGCCTTAGCAGGTATAGTTATGGCAAAACACAGGAGACAAAGTAATTGAAAACAGCTTCTTTCTGTATTCCCAGAAACTGTAACTTTAACATTGGTAAGACAATATCTGTGGCTTGTTTTCTGTTTTATCATCTGGTCCCTTCTCCTTGAATTTAGGCTAAATCTCCCTACACCAAATTTGAGAAGTTTAAAGCTAATTTCGTAAATAATTTTTTTGGCACTATACATTCTTCTGGCATTCTGATAATACATGTAGACCTCTTGGTATTGCTCTTCTAGTCAGTTCCTGATGCTAATTGCTATGGGAAATGAGTAGAATTTATTCTGGTGTTTCCAATTTTCTGACTATTCCTTCAGCCCCAGTCAGTCTGCTATTAACCGTTATGCTATACTGAGCTACATTATCTTACTAGTTTCCATTTACTCCTTTCTATCTTCTATTGCTATCATTCCATTCTCATCATTAAATAATTTCAAAATCTACGTCATTGTCATCTCAGTAGCAGCAATTATTCCTTCTCTTTTCCTTTTTAAAATGAGTACATTCCAAGGTCTATGGAAGCAGAATTACTTGTGCTCACATGTAAAGATTTTGATTGTTCCATTTGGTCTCCAAGTGTTCTAAAATCCTATAAAGAATGTTACTTGTGCTTTAGTGGTAATTGGCCGAATTGTTTCAGGTCACATATTTCCATCACACTCCTGTGGTTAAGTTGGCTTTCAAACACTTTGCAGTTTGGTTCCAATTTGTCTCACATGAGCCATATGCAGCCATGTGGGACTGGGTTATGTATGCTCTGTCCCCTAGTTCAGTTGTCAGAGCCTGTACTCACCACCCAGGTTGAGGGTGTCAGCAAGGCAGGGGTACGCACAGCTCAAATGCAATGAAACAATTTGTTCTTCCATTTCCTGTATCTTCACCTTCTCAATATTTGCCCCTTCTTTCAATCTCCCTCCCTCTCCTCTTCTTATTTTTTTTCCTGTAGCCTTTTGGCCAGAATTCTGAGGCTTGATATATATTCTGCTCTGCTTCAGAATTTCCTTGACCATATTCACACAACAAGAAGGGTATAGTGAGGGAAAGAGGAAAAATAATGCTACCACAGCCCTAGGATTGGTAGGATGAGGAGACATCAAAGTGTAGAGGAAAGATGAAGTCAGTGGATCTGTAGACTTTGAACATTTAGAAACCTGTTCAGCATTCCTTGAGCCAGAATTAAACTATTTCTCGACTCCTGTGTTCCAGCAATCCTTTCTGAGGCCATCTGGAGTTCTAGAAATGGAATTCCAATGGAAATAATGGTGAACTTACCTTCAATTGGTGAGATTTTGAATCCTGATCTTTGTCTTTCTACCCTGCCTTCTTCCTAGAGTCAAGTCACTGCTCCGTGTGTTTTAATTTATGGCTACATCCACAGGGAGGTGAATACTCTGTATTCTTATTAGACAGAATGTTCTTGCCCCACCATTGGTACTCTCTGTCTATCTCTCTATCTCTATTTCTCTTCCTCTCTCTCTGTATGTCTGTCTCCTTTTCCTTATTTTAGGTATAAATCTATCTATATATCATTGGTCATTACTTTATTTTGGCAGTCCTATTGGCTGTGAAAGCTACTTTCAAGATTTCTTAGTATAAGCTATGAGAGATACGATGAGATGCTTTGGGAAATTAAGCTTAGCAAATACAATGCATTAGTGTCTAGTTGATTTTTTTTTCTAATCTTGCAACAAAGACTCACACCATGAGGAAGTTATATTCAAAGTGAATTTTCTCTGTAAGATACATGATAAATAATTGCCTATTCCTGTTAGTCCCACTGATGGTATCTATATTGAGTGTCCATCATTCCAGATACATCTAGAGATAGTTTCTAAAGGAAGCAGCCATGATTCTAGATAAATCCAGACATCGTGTTTTATTAAGGTGTTCTGATTGATGATCATGAAGTTCTCTTTTAAGTCCCAATCAACATTCCTATATTTCCAATTCATTTTCTTTCCACTACTTTGCATCTCATAGAAGGATTTATAAGACCTGTTCAGTGTCTTTCTTCCAAACAAGAAATTCCTCATGAAAACATTACTGATTTCTCTGAAAACAGTTCCTGACATGGTTGATGGTCATGCTTTACTGGAATGTCTGCAGGCCAGGTGTGGAATTATTTTGAGGTTCCTGTTATAAAGCACTCATCATCATATCTCACCTTGGATAATGAATCAGAATCTCAGACTGAAGGGTGGATCTGTGCTCTGTGCTCTTAGTGTTGGTCCATAGCTGGACTCCTTATAGGATTCCTAGGTCCTCTTTTAACCAATGCTTTCTGTTCCCCAAAGTGAACCCCAGTAAAGAGTATACTCTTGCGATCTATGAAGTACTTACAATGTTTCCGGAAATTGGTAAGAGAGCAGGCCTGGCTGTTCCTCTGTTCTCTGCTGGCTAATGCAATGTTTAGTGAACAGGAGAGTGAGAGCCAGGGTGGTGAGAATCTAAAATACTCATGTTGCAAGTGGAAGGGATCAATCCTCCCATGTATTTATTCCTAGGAGGGGAGGAGAATGGGTTGAATTCCAGGAAGAGGTGAAGCCTTTGCTATTATTTCTATTGTATTTCACCTGGGCTCTGAGCTTCTCCTTCTACCGTGTGAACCACAGCAATGGGACTCCACTCTTAGGCTTAAGATTAAGAGCCTTTACCTTTTGAGCATGCTGCAGGACTGCAGCTCTTTATGCCAACAAATAAATAAGAAGAAAAAGCCTAGACAGAAAGATCCTACCCTTTACTTTAAAAACCGAAGACTATTAAAATTAAAATAAAAACAGATTTTGCTTCCCAAGGTGATTTTGTTTCACTAACCTGTTAACATTACAGGTCTCGTACCTCCATTATTCAGGCCATGAGAGAGAAGAAATATAAAAGCAATACATTTTTTTTCAGATAAAAACTAAATTGCAGCCTAGAGCATTGAAAAATGAACAATTACATTCACTATCCCCAGAGCATGTAATAATTGGGATTGTAGACCCAGTGTCCTTTTCTTGAAATACAGCTAATATGTTTTTCATATTTTCCACTTTTTGTATATTTATACTTGGTGGTCGTTCACTTTTGTGAAAACAAAACTATGCTATAACCAGTCCTGACCTATTTTTCTTCCTCTCCTGCAAGAGTCTCCCTTCACAGCTGCTGTGAGCTGCAGGCCAAATCAAAGCTGAGAAATGCTTTGAAGTTCCTGAAAACTTCTCTTCTCTCCAGAAAAGAATGAAAAGTCTTGGAATGTCTGAGCCACTGCCAGCCTGGAACAGATCTTGCAAGCCCTGCCTTTTCTCTCATCATCCAAGAACTCAGCTGACTGAAGAATATCACCTGCTCCCTCTCACCTTTTTCCTTGCAGCCAAGAAGACAGAAACAAAAACACCCATTTAGAAGAGAAACACCAAGGTCTCGTCATCAGTTCTGGTAAGTAACCTAGACATTTGCAGGGCAATAACACACTAGTCAATTCTGTTGCAGAGGAGAGGCATGCAGTGGCCAGTGTCATCTTTCTTTGGCTAGAGCGCATGTATCTTTACTTTACTGCCCTGTTTTATGGGTAGGCACACCCTACTCTGGGGCTGAACACTCAGGTGAGTGTCCCATCACCCTTCACAACCCCTCTTTCTGTAATAGAATGCCAACACTTCTGGCTCATGATGGACTCTCACGTGTAGGCACTACTGACCTCATAAAGATTGTATGACAATAGTCACACAAACAGGAAGAAAACTGAAGATGTGTACCCAGGTCTAAAGGAAAGTGACCAGTGCTCAGTAGTGTTGGTTGGTTTTTCTGTGGCAGAAGTGACCTCCTACCTGAACGTTTTATTCAAAGGCAATTATCTTGTTTCATTTTATTTCTTTTTTATTATTATTAAGAAATTTTCACTGGGCAGTGGTGGTGCACACCTTTAATCCCAGTACTCAAGAGGCAGAGTCAGGCGGATCTCTGTGAGTTTGAGGCCAGCCTGGTCCAGTACTCAAGGCCAGAGTGAGATCAAGGACAAGCACCAAAACTACACGGAGAAACCCTGTCTTGAAAAACAAAAAATAAATAAATAATAATAATAAAATAAATAAATAAATAAATAAATAAATAAATAAATAAATTTTCTATTCATTTTACATACCAACCTCAGATCCCCCTCTCCTCCCTTCTTCCACCCCCCAGTCTTCCCCTCCCCAATCCATCCCCCATTCCCATCTCCTCCAAGGCAAGGAATCCCATGGAGAGTCAGCAGAGCCTGGTACATTCAGTTGAGGCAGGTCCATGACCCTCCCCACTACACCAAGGTGTCTCACCATAGGCACTAGGCTCAAAAATCCTGGCTCATGCAACAGGGATGGATCCTGATTCCACTGTCAGGGGGCTTCCTAAACAATTCAAGCTAATCAACTGTCTTGCCTATCCAGGGGGCATAGTTCAGTCCAGAGGCTCCACAGCTATTGGTCCACAATTCATGAGTTTTCACTAGTTTGGCCTGGCCATCTCTGCACATTTCCCCATCATGATCTCGATGTCCCTTGCTCATAGAATCCTTCCTCTCTCTCATTGATTGGATTCCTAGAGCTCGGTCTGGTGTCTGGCCATGGATCTCTGCATCTGTTTCCATAAGGAGAAATAGATGAGATCTAGATGAGTAAATAGGGGATGAAGGGGGGCAATGGAGGTTAGGGGTCAGGGGATGAAAACATAAGGAAATGGGAGGTTTGAGATGGAAAAGGGACAGAGTAGGAGAGCAAGGAAAGAGATAACATGATAAATGGAGACATCATGGGAATAGGGAGAAACAGAGTGCTAGGGAGTTTCCCAGGACTACTAGCAATAGTTGAGAGGGTGCCTGAACTGGCCTACTCCAGTAATCAGATTGGTAAGTACCCTAACTGTCATCATAGAGCCTTTATCCAGTTTCTTTTTATTTCTATGAAGTTCTTATTATTAGTCCATTTTCTACATCTGATTCTTCATCCTTCTGCAGAGCCTACAAGCCTAATTACTTTCCCAGTAAATATTTTTCTATTAAAATGAGCCAGAGGCACTTTCAGTTGCCCACAAATAGTGATCCTACTTCATATATATGAGCTGAGAATGTTAGGATCATTGGAATAGAAGGGAATCATTCTAATTCCAAACCCAGAAATACTCTTGGGGAAATTTCTTCAGTTTTGCTGTTGGTGAAATAACAATCTTGGCAGTAAACACAAAATTGGGGATAAAGTTCCAAAAATTTCCACTATAGAGGACTGCAAAAAAAATAATAGGGTTGTGAATTTTGAGAATGAATATACTTCTTGAACTTTATCAAAATTAAGTAAATGCTCATTTTTTAAAATAAAATAATGTAGAGGCAATACTGCTTTTAGGGCAGAATTATTGCAATCTACTCACTTGTGTAATGTATATTAGAGGCTCTCCTCTGGGAGAGTCAACATGAGAAATGCTTCCATATTTTGTTTGTTTTGTTTTAGTATCAGGTTGACAATCTTACCTTCCCATGAGTTGAATCTGGGTCAGACACTCTGCACTATTGTCATGTTGAGGAAAAGGAGCAATAGCCACTCTATCTTTGGAATGTTTCTGCCCCTTTATCAATCACTTAGGTGACCCAGTTACAAAGGATTCCTTTCTGGGACACCTCTACTTTGAGGAACCCCAAAGGGAGGAAAAATAAAAGCATCGAGGCAAGCTTTTTGCTGTGTGCTGTAGCGAGTGAAAGGAGGGAGTCTTAGGCAGTTATCTGGTTAGGTAGAGCTAGTTAAATAAGGAGAGCCCCTGGGAATCTAACTGTTCTTTCTATAGTTTTTCTTTGTAAAGGATGAAGATAGGGTTGAGTGAAGCCAGACGCTTTTTCCTGTCAGGAGGGAATTAGAACAAAGATTTCCTTTAGAAACAGTGTGCTTAGTACTATCTGGTGACAGGCAAATCCCAAAAGACTCAGTTGTGATAGAGCCCCAATGCGTAGCTTTGGGATGGAAGCATTGAGTAACTTCCCTGAACTTTTCTCTACTTGGCCCTTTGTTCCTCTGACATCCAATTTCCTGTTTGCTCTGTTCTCTCATTCAAATCCCATCTGGCCCTTTCCTTGGAAGAATTTGTATGAAAAAAATCCAAGTTGTCCCCTTTCTGAAAAGATACACTTCTGTATGACATGAACATCCATCTTTTCAACCATAAAATAAGTAGCACTGAGTTGAAATAGCTAAAAGAGTCAAAAATTTCAGCTAGCATGAGGCTTTCTGATTGGCTGTAACCTCAATTCACTCTTTTAAGATAGTGATATTTAATCCATTAAAAGAATTGTTCTAGATATTGAATTTGTGATGTTTGCTTAAAAGGGTTAGTAAGCTATTAAGAAAATCCACTGCTCCCAAAATGGTGAACATAATGGACATCTGTACACCTGAGTAGAAGTCTCTCCTATCCTCCCATGCCTTAGCTTCTCTGCATCAGCTTCTCTGCAGCTGGGGGTGTTGCTCCCGGTGGTGGTGTCATTGCACCTGCTAGCCTCCACACTAAGGAAGAAGCTTGGTGGCTTCTCATGCGACTCATGTTAGGTGGGAAATTTTACTCCTTGAAAATAAATTGTTATTTCCTTACCTATTCCTCTGACATAGTACTCTATAGAGTATATTATATTTACCTGATAGTTTTGATAATGTGGCCATTGCAAAAAGAAAATCTCTGAAAAAAAAATCGATGATGATGGTGGACTGATTTGATGAGCCCAGAGGAGCTGCATAGTCCTCCTTTTTTTTTACCATGTTGATTCTATACTGTTCTTTCCATTTCTCCTTAGAAAATGTCTTCCAAGTATGTAGGAAAGTAAACTATGAGAAACCTTTTCCCAGCATATATCCCAAGGATGGCTGTGTGTTGTTCACTCCCCAAATTTAAGAAGGACTAGTCTCATTGTAGTCGTGCCTCACTCATTGTATTTGCCAGAACTGGTTCTTCTATTGCACTAAGGCATTGCACCTGGAAAAACCTCTCTTTGGCCCCTCTCTCCACTTTCCTCAGCCTCAGAGAACCCTTATCCCCACTCTCAATTTCAATGAGGTACACTCTTTCAGATTCCATCTGTGAGTAACATCATATGGAGTTTGTCTTTTCATGTGTGGCTTATTTCACTTAGCACAATATCCCATAGATCTTCCCATGTCACCACAAATGAGATTTCATTTCCTAACTGAAGAACAATAATTAGAAAGCTAATGAATTACAGATAAATAACTTTGTTAGTCAAATAGCAAGGGTACCCCAGAAATAATAGGTAGAATTTCAGGAGCTTCTTGGATATATTGGTTAAAAATACTGTATGTTCCTTTGAGAAATCAAAATGTCACATTCCAGGTGGGTAAATGGGGAGACTCCCTGTCTGTGATGGCCATACTTCAGCCACTGTTCTGTGCCAGCAGTTCA